TGTCATTATCTTTAATCCAACCACCTTGTTAATTTAGTAATTCCTTTTTCTTACCTTTGATTAGTGAAATAAGTAGGAGAAAGCTCAAGAGCAAGGGGAAAAGAGAAATTGCCTCTTGAATGATTTGAGAGCTTTGCTAGCAGCCAAGAATTCAAGGTAACACATTCACGACTCATTCATACCTTTCATGGGTCATTAGAAATGCAAGATTGCATATTAGTCGAGTTTAAAGCGTGTTGAGCATTTTCATGGTAGATTCTATTTTTTAGGTTTTTAACATGTTTTAAAGCCTTATTTATGATCCTTTATGATCACATAAGACACTAATAACAATTGGGAACCTCAAAATAAAAATGTGGGTGAGTTTGAGTGCCCAAATAGGGCATTTTCAAGGGTAAGTATAGTACTGATAATGTTTTTATATCATGCATAAAATATATAGAGTTTATACGGGAAATATCGATACCCCTTCAATGAGTATCGATACTGGGGTTTTGGTATCGAGACCAGGGTGCTTTATATCGAAACCAATTTTCCAGAATGCAATTTTGGTATTGGTACTATAGGGAGTATCAATACCAATGACTAAGTATTGATACTCCTTATATGAGTATTGATATTTTCCCTTTTCTTTCAAGAAAGGTTAACATTGGGGTATCGATACCTTGAGTGGGGTATCGATACCTTGAGTGGGGTACCGATATTGTAGGGCCAGTATCGATACCAAGTCATTGATTTGGGTTTTATTTACTAAGAGATTCTAAGAGGCAAATGAGGTTTCCCAAAGGCTCTAATTACTCTCAAATAAAACTTCAATTGGTAACAATAATATTTCTTAATCACATTAAAAATGATATCAATTAAAGAGATACAAAACTAGCCTTGTTTGAATACTTGGGAAATAATCAGGACACCCGTGTTACTTTAGATGTGATACTAGTATCGAATAATTGAATCACTCTGGAGAACTTTAGGTAGTGCACAAGGCACTTTAAACTTACTAATTAGAAGCAGTTGAGATCCATATTGAGTGCATCAAAGTACGTCTCGAGTTCTTCTTTAGAGGGCTTGTATATTTGTGAACCCTTGTACTTGTTGAGTCGTAACTTTGTTTAAAACACTAGTTTGTATATTTTGATTTATTATTTTTGGAAGCTCCTGATGTAAACTATTTTATATAAATGTGGACACTTTATTTCTTTATGAGCACTTTTAAGAAAGCCTTTTCAATTAAGAAATTAAAGAAATTTTTTGGTTAGCCACTCTGGTGGTTCTGTGTAGCATTATAATTGGTTGATTGTGTGTCGTACTGGTTTAGGGTGTTATACAAATGACCCTTAAAGTTTAGTGTCCAAAATGATATCATAAAAGACATCAGAATAGCCCCACCAAAAGATATTATTTTGGTGTGACATGTCACATCAACAACCATTAGCCATGTCATATTCTCATTAGCGACTTAACAATGAACTGATATTGAATGTAAAACTAAAATCCAGTACTATAGTGAACAAAATTAAAAATTTAATGGTATAAATGAATGAAGAGTAAAATTCAAAAACACTTAAAATATTTTTCCCTTATATAAATATTATACTTGAAAATAAAAAATAACATTTTTAACGCCCCAAATCTCGGGTTAGTAGTTCCAGGTTAAAGTGGAAGTGTTTTGGATAACTTCTCTAGCCTTGTAGAGAGACTTGACGTAAGTGGGAGTTGGTTTGGGCTGTTTGGGCCCAATAGATGATAAAAAGGGTATTTTTAAGTTGTGACCAAAGTTAGGAGGATTAAGGAAGTAATTTACCCATTTTATGTCGAAAAGGTTGAATCTTTTAAATGTTAGTGTGGTCACACAGCTAGCCCTCTTTTTTCTCCCACAAACTTTATCATATTCCTCATCTTTTTTGCACTCATTCTTTCTTCTTGTTACTAGAGCAAAGGTAGAAACTTTATTATTCTACTCACCTATTCCGTACAAACCAAGGTAAGAACCATCACCGCCATCTCAAAAACTACAAATTGAGCCCTCAACCTCCTAATTTTATCATTACAGCCATGAGAATGGTTTTAGTGGGGGTTTAAGAAAACCTCAAATATCCAGTCCATTTTTTATGGATTTCAACCTTAATAAGTCTTCTTAACTCTCCCTCGCCTTCCTAAATTAGTTAGTAACTCATGCATATGATTTTGTTTACTGAGAGAAGTTTGAGAGAGCTCTAAAAGCAAAGGAAAGAAAAAATATAACCCTTGGTTGATTATAGAAGTGTTCCAATAGCTTAAGATTTCAAGGTAACACACTCATAACTCATCTCTACCACTTGTACATCATTAGATGTATGTTGTTAGCTTGCATGAGTTATGAAGAATGAAAGCATGTTCATGGTAAATTTTAGTATTTGGTGTTTTTAAGCATGTTTATGGACCTATTATGACCCCTGTTAACATCTATAAGACTTGAATAACACTTGGAAAAACTTGAGTAGGTTTTTTAGTTGAAATAAAAAGTCATTTTCGTACCCAAAAAGGCATTTATGGGTTTGAGTACCGGTATTGGAAGAACATTACCGATATTGTTCATTAGATAGCCTAAAATAAGAGGATTTTGGGCTAAGAGTATCGATACTCATTCAACGAGCATCGATATTATTGGTTGGGTATAGATACTTATAGGAGGGGTATCAATACCGAGATCACTTAGTAAATTTTAGTAGCCAATTTTGGTATCCATACTCATGGGAGTATCGATACTGAGGGTTAGAGTATTGATACTCTCAGTAGAAGTATCGATATTGAGTTAATTTTCAAAATATCAAAGCAAATTTTGGTATCGATATTCAGGATAGTATCGATATTCTAGCTAGATTATCAATACTACCTAGTTCCCCCATTTTTCAATAGACATTTTGTATCGATACCAAGAGTGAGTATTGATACTCAAGGATCAGTACTTGATACTGAAAGATACAATATCAATACCAACGTATAGTTTTAGGTAAGAAACCCAATGATTAAGGGGTTAGACTCGAGGGGCCCAATAACACCATAACGTTATCGAGATAAAACTACAAGTAAGAACAGTAATAGACACAGTTACATCTAGAAACAATATCATCTAGGATAACAAAAAACTAGCCTTTGTATGATGCTCGAGAAATAGCCATGACACTCGAGTTACTTTAGTAGTTGACGATTGTCTTGTTTATTAGTAGTATCCAAATATATCTCATTTAGTGCAAAGGCACTTTAGTTTCCAACTAGGAGAATATGCTCCAAGACTCTACAAAGTAAGTTGACCAAGTGCACATTTTCAATGTAGTTCCAAATCTCACTCCAGATACCGAATGGTATCTTAGGTAGGCTAGAGGGGTGTGCGCTTCAAGATGTAGAACCCTAAGCCACACCATGATGCCTACCTCAGCTTTGGATGTCAGCATCCTTATGTGCTTATACGTATGCCACTAGCATGCTCATGTAGTGAATACATGTAGTGAATACATGTAGTACAATACATTTATTAGTGTGGTACTGAGCTTGTAAGGTCAACGTTTGGAATGTGTTTTCGTACGTAGGTTCTTAAGAGATCGTTCGTAGAGCGTTATCGTCATCAGATATTCTAGATTAGCCGAGGCTTCAGCGTGTCTTGAGTCATACTTAGAGGACATGTACTATTTGTAGACTCTTTGTATTCAATCGTAACTCTATTTTGTTTTAAACCTTATGATATCATTGTGATATATTTTAGGAGCTCCCCTTATTTGTGGACTTTAATATTATGCTTTTATTTTGTAACTTCGTTGGATGGTTTTATATGATGATTTTCACTTGTTTTTAAATAAAATTTTTGGGTTAGTCACTTCGGTGGTCCCGCGTGACACATTAATCATTTGATCTTTGGGTTGGACTAGATTAGGGTGTTACAACATCAAACCTAAAATAACTCAATTTATTACTCGAATTTAATACCATATAACATTTAGGAAGAATAATATCCCTTTTTACCATTGAAGTCACTTGACGGTTCTAATTTCACAGAATTTACATTTAAAAAATTAATTTAATCCATTTTTAATTTTTTTATATTAAATTATTTGAATTAATCGATTATTCATTCGTAATTTTATTTCATTAGTTAAATTAAATCCTCTCAAAAGAGCTCAAACTAAATTAAGCAAATTTTCCAGTTTTATTTCTATGAGCTCCAATAAAAGAAAGGCTAAACTATATGTTTAGTATCTAAACTATATGCTTAGTATCTAAACTAATATTACTTTTCTTTACTTAACTTTATTTTTTTCTTTCAAAGCCATTTTAAACATTTAGTTTAGGTTTTATTTTAGTACTATGTCGTTAAAAACTTAACAGAACTATTGACTTAACATTTTTTTATTTTTCTAATAATGATGTGACATTACTTTATGGTAACTCGTCAACACTACCATTAAGTTTTTAAAGATATGTACAAAAATGAAACTTAAACTAAATGTTAGGTATGATTTTAAACAAATTAAAGTTTAGATACCAAAATGAAACAAAAATAATAGTTTAAGTGCTAGATGTGCAATTTATCCTAAAGGAAAATTAGCACTTGTTCTACGAGATTCGACTCGCTTCCTAATTGATAAGTCTTTTTTATCCCTGTCAGTAAACCTTTGCCTTCCGGGATTAGGAAAAGGATAGCGTGGAGGCAGAGAATATTATACATTAAACCAAACTGAATAATTCTAAGCACATACTCAGCAATGGCATGGAATTATTTGGAAAAAAAATTACTGAATAGGTTTTGCTTTAAAACTACTTTGAGTAGTTCCAATTGACACCCCATCTAATCCCTTCTGCTTTTTGAATACAAAATTTTCACTTTATATTGTAATAAAATGTGCCATTTTCAACAATTTATGCGATTCCTTTGGCCCAGGAAGTACTCACCATCACCGCATTTTATTAGATTATTTATAGCTTAGTGCTCATACTTTATTAGTATTATTAGTATTCACAAAGAAATGGGAAAAGCTACAAGGTGGCTGAAGAGCATAATTGGTATAAAGAACAGAAAAGACTGCTCGAATTCCGGTGACCGGAAAGGCAGAAAACGGTGTGGTATTGGCCATTCAAGGAGGGACTCAAGCGGCAGAGGAATCATGTTCGGCAAACATGAGAGACGACAGGCCGCCGTTAAAATTCAAACTGTCTTTCGAGGTTATCAGGTAAGTACATTTTCAACAGCTTATGCAGTACCATTATGTCTCTAATGTAGGGATTTGGTGTTTAAAACAGGCTAGAAGAGCACTTCGAGCTTTGAAAGGATTAGTGAAGATGCAAGCGTTAATTAGGGGATATTTTGCGCGGAAACATGCTACGATTATGCCTCGGAAAGCTCGTGGACTTGTTAACCATGAAGCCAACAGATTCGACATTGGAGCACGAAGATCAATGGTGAAAATTCATTTAGATAAAAAAAATTCTACTCCAATTTAAGCTAATTGATCTGTTCAAAACTCGTGTTGTAGGAGAGATTGTATTCTTTTGACATTTCAAATGGCATCGATGAAAGTTCCAAAATTGTGGAAGTTGACAACGGTAGGCCTAAATCAAGATCTCAGATCGGACTTCCAAGATGACCAGCCGCTTCATCGGACGTCGTCGTCTCCATTTCTATGTCGAATTCCGGTGCCCCGAGTTTCGATACAGGAAGGCGGGCACTTTGAAGACAGCGATTGGGGTTTAAGTGGTTATGAATGCAGGTTTTTTACAGCGCAAAATACACCTCGGGTCATGAGTTCTAGTGGGTCTAATGCCTCGGTTGCACCTCCCAAGAGCGTGTGCATTGATAACTGGTTTAGACAGTACGGGAATTTCCCAAATTACATGGCCAACACACAGTCATTCAAGGCTAAATTGAGGTCACATAGTGCTCCAAAGCAAAGGCCAGAGCCAGGGCCCAAAAATCGCCTTTCTCTCGATGAAATTGGGTTGGGATGCAGAGATGGTTCTCACAAGCTCAGGGCTGAGTCATTGGGAAACTTTGATTCATGTTAAGGATCCATTGTGATATAATATAGAAGCTAAGTCCATGTATTATTGTTGTAATATTTATGAATTATGGTTGTGTAATTATAATTTTTATTAAGAATTTAAGATCTGATGTTGATTATTGTATATTGGTCCTAAAATCGATCTGATGATAGGTGATTTATGATTCTAGTTTCAGGACAACGCCAACATGTCATTCCTAATTGTTTATGTTGGAATTCGTTATCAAACTTACTGAAATTCACCTTTAAGAATGACTAACATATTTGTTTATGTTGGAGATAGAATACTTTTTTAGAAGTAAATTTCTCTTAATCGATGTAATAGTTAAACACGTTATTTTTACGATTAACACAATTATGCATATATCAAGTGATATTAAGAGAAATGTTGTTTTTTCCATAAGTTTTGGGTTCGAACAACTGCGTCGTATAGTGTATGTGTACTTGTTAAAGATTTTGAATATATATTACATTGTAATTACCTCAGGCTATTTAAAAAAATATTAACATCCTTAACCCTAGCGTTACTCTTTTTTTTCTAGGTTTATTTCCCCTAGCGTCGCTATCTTCTTTTTTTCATTTTTGGTTGGCAGACGGCCAATAATCTTAGTGTTGGTCGCTAACTGTAGGTTTTTCTTGTTTTCTTTTATTTTTTGTATTATATCTATATTTTTCCTTTATTATTTTTAGTTTTTAATAACTTTGCCTATATGGCACTCTTGGTTCTGCCCATACAACACAATTTCCTTTGTTTATTGACATGCTTTTTATTTTTATCGATTGTTTGACTGATTTTTTTTGTTTATTTTTTCATGGTTGCTATGGCATCGCATCTGATTTGCGGTTGTAGATGATTTTTAATAGTTTGATTCTTTATTGTGGTTGACTTACCGATGTAGTCAGATTTGTTAACATTTATACTTTGTTTGATTTTTTAATGAGTTTTTAATTTTTTTTTTTTTTGTAAACTATGCGAATAGTCTCTTTTGTTTAGGGTTTGTCTGACTTTGGTCATAATTTAAAAATTAAGGGTAAATGGTCCCTAACATTATTGGTCCATCCGGTTTAAGTCCCTCCGCAATTAACCCTTAATGAATATGTGATATAGTTGAGGGACTAATATCAAATTGGAGTTAATAGTTGAGGGAGTAAAATCGAACAAATAGATAACTTTAGGAGATAAAATCAAACGGATCGATACGGTTAGGGACTATGTACCCTTAATTTTTAAATTGGTGACCAAAGTCGGTTATACCAAAAATAAAGGGGACTATTCACATAGTTTACCCTTTTTTATTTGATCATTGTATGATATCAAGTAACTAATTTTTTGTGTTAATAATTATATGAAAATATTATAATTTTATATTTAATTTATATTACAACTATAAACTTTTATCGTAGTTTTGGTTTTTTTATCTTTAATAGAAACAGCTTCTTTTATAGAAAAAATTAACTCAATCCTTCTTACTTCAAACATCTAAAAATTATCAACTTGAAAACAAATATGTTTTAAGTACGAACTTAAAAAAATACATGATTCAAATATCAAGTATTTATTTAAAACTTATTAGAATTTCTATTGGAAAAGGTTTTGTAAAAAAATATTTTTGTTACGCCAACTAAAAGAACATTTAATAATATTTTGAAAAGGGAAATTACTTTATTTGATCATCTAGAGTATTATATTTCTAGTTTGGCCACTAAACTATTTTTTAACATTTTCATGAGGTTTAATATAAAAATAAGTGTCTAAACTATATCATTTTTTGTATTTAGGTGTCTAACGTTTCTAACATTTCATTTTTTGGTGCCTAAACCGTTACTGCCGTTAAATGACACGTATCATATTTATAGAATTTTAAAATTATTATTTCTATTTAAAAAAATTCTCGTCATCCCCTCCCCCTCTCTTTCATGTAAATTTCCCAAACAATCAAAGGCTAATGGGAGTCAAACAATCGACTTCCACAACCGACCAAACTGTTAGACTGATCCTTATTCTTGTACTTCTCTAATTTTCTTGTGTTCTGCAACAAGTTTATCTTCAACTTCCTTGAGTTGTCAACTATCACCGGGGGTGTAAAGGATTTGTATATATTATAATTATAACATTATAAGAGATGAGTATATATAAGATTACAAGGGATCTTAATTATACAAAGATAAGGGAAGTCAAAAGCTTAACACAAGACAATATTTATATAAAATAAAATCGGATTGCTTGGATTGAATGAGATTAGATTAGAATATATTTATTATATAATCTAATCTTTATATTTAATACGGTCCTGCAAGATAGAGGATCCATTGGAGACACCAATCTTGGACCAAAAATGAAGGAAGATATTATGTCCATGCGGTTTGGTGAGAGTGTCTGCAATTTGAGCTTTGGATGGAATGTGTTGAACCAATAGTGAACCTGCAACAACTAATTCACGAACAAATAAATAATCCAATACAAAATGTTTTATACGAGAGTAAAAACTAGCTTTTTATAAACATACGTGACACTAGGATTGTCACACAAGAGAGATGGTGGTTTGTTTTATGTCACTCCAATTTCTTAAAGTAGATGTTGAACCTAAAGTACTTATGCATTTGCTTTTGTCAGAACACGATATTCAACTTATGTGGAAGAATGAGAGACCATTTTTTGAGGAGCTGACTTCCATGAAATGAGATAGAACCAAGATAAATAGCATATCGAGTTGTGGATTTATTATCAGTAGAGGATCCACCCAGTTCGCATTGGTAAAGGCAACAAAGATGTCAAGCGGAAAAAAATGTCATGACATAAAATACCTTCTAGATAATGCATGATATGTTTAGTTGTTTTCCAATGTGCAAGTATAGAGTCATGTATGTATTGTGACAAACGATTAATAACAAAAGCAATATTCAGACGAGTAATTGTGAGATACTGAAGAAGACCAAGTAATCATCGATAACTCGAGATATCTAGAGACAGAGATGACTCAGGTAGAGGTAGTTTGTTAGAAGAAGACATATGTGTTGAAATTGCCTTGGCATTTTTCATATGAAATTGTGCTAAGATATCTGAAATGTATTGCGCCTGAGATAGAAACAAACCAGTCAGAGCAGAATTGACCTCAATGTCAAAAAAATGGTTGAGGAGCCTCATATCCTTCAAAGCAAACTTCGTAGATAAATAAACTAATGAAATAAACGAAGTCAATAATATTACCAGTAATCATAATATCACCAACATATATTAGAAGGTACAAAATGGCTCCTTTTATATTATAAATGAAGTCTGGTGCACCAGCCTTTGATTTCTGAAAGATAAACTAAAGAAGAAATTGAAAAAACTTAATGTACCATGCCCTTGATGCCTTTTTTAGTCCATAAAAGGCCTTGCATGACCGACAAACATGAGAAGATTTTGTAGGGTCAACATATCTCGAAGTTTGTTCTAGATAAATTTTCTCATGCAAAGTACCATTTAAGAAGACATTATTGGTATCAATCTATTTGATAGGGCACACATGATGAAGTGGAAGAGTAAAGATAATGCATACCGTAACAGGTTTCATCACAGGACTAAAAGTCCCAAAATAGTCTCGACCAGCTTCTTGAGAATACTCCTTAGCAACTAATATGTCTTTGTATCGATCAATAGAGCTATCTAGACGTCTCTTCACGAGGAACACCCATTTGTATTCTATGATAAATTGCTTAGATCATGGAACGAGATCACACATGTGATTGCACATCAAGGTAGTAAACTCATCTTCCATAACTTGCCTCCATAATAGATCTTTAAGAGCTTAAACAATAGTTTTCAGAATCAATATGAAAGACAAAGGGTGTCATATAGTGGTATTAACAAATGAATGACCCAAATACCTTGGATTTAGCCAACAAGTGTATGGTTATCGAGTATTTTACTGTGACAAAAGATATGTTGTTGCAGCAGGTACATCATTATGTTCTGACATATCAACTAAGGATGTTGGTGCATTAGGTAGGCCATCAGGTTATTGAGTCAGTACTGTAGTTGATTTATTATTTTGTCGTGGCATATCAACCAATAGAGTTGGAGAAGAGGATACTGATATAGTAGGAAATAATGTCGCAGAGGAATGCTATGATATAGTGATAGCACTCCATGTAGCAAATAGGAAAATGTGAGGAATGTATCGAACATGACGAAAGACATAAATTTTGTTCATGTTTGGATCCAAGTATTTATAAACAGACTGTGTGTCATATCCAAGGAAAACATATTTCATTACCTTGTTCTCATATGTAATGGGGTAAGGGAAAGGTAAGATAGTAGCTGCCCTCAACACTAGGTTAAGAGCAGCTTCCGTAGGAAACCTCCGAATTATGAAATGCCCTCCATGGGACTCGATCCCACAACCTCAAGGTTAAGAACATTGTACTCTACCAACTGAGCTGGATGGTCATTTCGAAAACATATTCAGTATTAAATTTATTATTGATGTATGCTCATAGCTAAGGAAAACATAAGCGTTCAAATGGTTGAAGCTTATCATAGTTTGGTGATTGTTGATAAAGTAAGGAGTATGATGACATATTATCAAGTATCGATGTTGACATCTGATTGTTAAGATAAACAACCGCCTGAAAAGTATGAGTCCAATGCTTCGTTGGATGAGATATAAAGTGAAGTAGAGAAAGATCAATCTCTACTATGTGACCATGTCTTCGTTCAGTAGTCCTGTTGTGTTCAAGAGTATGGGACGACGAAGTGAAGTGTGAAATGCCTTTAAAATTCAGAATAGACAATAACTTAACAAACTCACTTCCATTATCAAAGAATGATAACTTAACAAACTCACTTCCATTATCAAAGAATGATAACACAATGGATCGGTTGAAAAGTATTTCAACAAACCTTTCAAACCGAGGAAAAATTGTTGCAACATTAGATTTTTTTCTTCATCGGATATAACGAATTATACTTGATGAAGTGATCAACGCATAATATGAGTATCCATCATATACCATATGTTTAGTGCTCCAAACATCATAATAAATTAATTCAATAGGACGAGATCTTGTCATATCATTTTAACCAAATGATAACTTATGACTTTTATTGATACGACATAAAGAATAATAAAACTACTCTTTTAGACTAGTTGAGTCATAAGGTATATTACATGCGCGTAATGTATAGGCTAAGACTTTATAGGATGAATAGCTAAACTTGTGATGCAGCTGATGCACGATCAAGCGATTGATGAAATTAATTTGGGAAAGAAAAGATCGCATAACATAGTAGAAACCACCAATATTATTATCCCAAAGAAGAGGAGTTCTCATGGGTTGATCTTTAACAATAAAATGAGAGTTAAAGAATTCAACATATACATGATTAGTCTCATAATTGAAAAATCGACACTAAATTTATATGTAACTGAGGAACTCATAAGACATCTATGAGTGAAAGAGGCTTAATAGCATGGAAACTATGCGTAGACCAATGTGAGATGTATGTAGAGAATTTTATTACCTAGTTAAACTGTATCAAGACCATCATAAGCGAAAAAATCATGAAACGTTGTACTAGTCATAATGGTATGATGTGAAACACCACTATCAAACATCTAAGGAGCAGATTCAGATGATGAACGAGTAACAATAGTGTTACAACTAGTGGGTTAGTCATTAACTGTTGATAAAAGTTGTGACGAAATCGAGTAGAAAAATTCTACTAGGCCCTGATACTATGTAAAGGATTTTTATATTTTATAATTGTAATTTTAAAAGATATGAGTATATGTAGGATTAGAAGGAATTCTAATTGTACAAAGACGAGAAAAGTAAAAGCTTTACATAAAACAATATTTATACAAGGTAAGATTGGATTGATTAGATTGTATAATCTAATCTAATATTTTTTATATAGAGAACGCAACAGAGAAGCCACAATGGAATACCCTCTTATTATTTTATTTTTTTGTGCCAAATCATAAGTTTTGGGATTTGTTCATCAATGGAAGATAGTGGGAAAAGCTCTAAAATTTATTCATCAATGTAAAATAGTGGAGAAATCTTCAAAATTTATTCATCAATGGAAGATAACGTTGGTTTAAGGAAATAGATAGTTCCTAAATATGGTTTTCCATTAGCAAAACTGAAACCATAAGTTCTCTTTCTTTAACAATGGCTTCATTATTTTCTTAGCATATTGTATAAATAGCAGAAGAGTAATTACATAAATTATCTTTTTTTTAATTGTTTTTGTATTTGAAGTTTTGACAATTTATCACATTAATATCTTTGGTCGGTTATGAAAGTCGGTCGTTTGGTAGACTATGGCAATAGACCGTTTAAGAAAATTGTAGGAAGAAAGAAGAAGAAGAACACGGCAGGGAAGGGGAAAGGGATAAGATGAATTAGTTTTTTTTAATAATATTTTTCTGTTTTAATTTTTTTTAATTTTATAAATATGACATGTGTCATTTAATGACATATACTTAAAAGTATAACGTTGAAATATTTGAATTGATTGAAAAATAGTTTAGACTAACTGGAAAAAAGTTATAGTTTGAGCACTAATTTTTATATTAAACCTTTGCATAATTAATATTATGTTTTCATTTTATTTTTTTCATCTATTCTCGTTAAGTTTTAATGGAGATGACGATGTAAACTAGTATAATAATAGTTTTAGTCTCCAAAACTTATATTCCCCTATCCCATTAAATTGGTCTATTATTAATATTTTGGGTCAAATTTTTGTAACTTTGACTCATTATTTTCTAAAAATTTATTATTGATTAAAATATAAAAAAACATATTTTGAAAACCTTCCATAGTAGTTTTGAAATTTATATTTTATAAAACTTAATTGTTTAAAATATTTAAAATAATCATGATCAAATTTTAAAAAATTTATCTTTTAAAAAAGTCAATAATGAACAATTTTTATGGAATGAAGGTAGTACATTCTATCAGTTTAGTCCTAATTCGAAATAACTCATCAAATTTAAACCTCATCCGTATGTGATTAAAATAGAAGGAAAACATAATATTAGTGATGCAAATATCAAATAAATAATTTAATGACCAAAGTAAAAATATGATATAATTAGGTGACCAAATACATAGTTTACCCTGAAAAACAAACAGAAACATTAAGATAGGACTATGGAGGCCCGGGAGAGAGAGAGAAGCAAAGGGTTTGTTGTAAGTTAAAAAATTATATATTGAAAATAAATAATTAAAGGAAGGGATAGCTATGCTGCCGTTCTCCTCAACCTTTTTAGTGCCGCCTATATCTCCTTCATTTATTTACTTCAGTCGCTTCTCTCGTTTTCACTTCTCTCCTTCCGCCTCCGCCTCCGCCTCCGCCTCCGGTCAGTCCTTTTACTGTCCACATCTGCTGCTCTGCTTGTTTCAGCAAATATACTTCTTTCAATCTTTATTCTCTGTACTATTTCTGTTGGATTTTCTTATGTATGTTTTAAGATGGAAGTTTCAGTTTCACGTTGTATAGATTTTCTTCGTTCAAGTTTAGGAAGTCAATCATTTAATGGATGATAGCTGCGAAGTTTGATATTTTTTGTTGTTATTTTTTATGGAAAAAATAAAGCTTAAATGTGATTATTTTCCGATGGTTTTTCTTTGTTCAGAATGTCTTATCAAAATGCATTAAGGAAGGCGTTAATTTGTACCAGTGTTATCTTCCATGTAATATAGAGACTTTACTTGATTGCATTTTTTCATATGTTTTAACAAACAATTTTCATACTATTATTTAGTTGTTTGGTTTGCTTTCTTAGCGGTTCCTTAAATTCAAAATTTTGTTGATCATTCGTGAGAATTTTGTTTTGATATACAAAATTTAGACAGATTTACTGAGATTGACATCTAGAAGACTTGTTTGGGAAACCAAGGCCCAGTCCTTAACCACCATGGCAACCGTAAGTTTATTCAGCTGAAAATTCATGCCTAATTATCTTTCAGTTGTATTTCGTTAGTTTACTAATTATTTTACTTTGAGCTGTGACCAGGAACATGATGAATGTATGGGCAGTGTGAAGGGACAGTTAGCAAAACTATTTGACGTTTCACTTAAAGTAACTGTTCCTAATGAGCCGGATGTAGAGCCATTGGTAGCTGCATGCAACGGCAAATTTGGTGATTACCAGTGGTATGGTATTTGTTCCTTTATTGAATGAACATACCATTTGCCGTAGATGGTGTTTTCATGTTATTATGCAATGATAGATTGATTATTAGTAAAAGTAAGGCCCGATTCAACCTTTTGTATTGACTAGTTTTTGATGCAAAATTTGAAATATCTTTGGTGCAGTAACAATGCCATGGGCCTGTGGTCTAAAATAAAAGGGAAGGGTGCTCAATTTCGTGGACCTCCATCAGTTGGAGAGGTGGGGATGATTTGGTAGTTGAGAAGCTTGTTTCCTGTATCATGCTTTGAATCAATAGATAATCGTTAGTTTATTCTTTTCATTTCCTTGTTTCTTTTGTTAGGCAATCAAGAATAATCTCCCAACCTCTGAAATGATAGAATCATGCTCCGTAGCTGGGCCTGGATTTGTAAACGTAGTATTGTCGAAGAATTGGATGGCTAAGGTGGCTCATATGTTCCACCCCATTAATTTTATGTCATTGAATTACTTCTGAGAATAGTTAAAACGATCTTTTGTTCAGCTTGGTTTGGCTTTATGTGTTGTAGCTATTGCATTGGTCTTATAAGATAGCTTGGCCATTTTCTTGCTTGACAGAGCATTCAAAAGATGCTAGTTGAAGGTATTGATAAATGGGCACCACATTCGCCAGTTAAAACAGCAGTTGTTGACTTTTCATCTCCTAATATAGCAAAAGAAATGCATGTTGGTCACTTGAGGTCTACAATTATTGGTGACACACTTGCTCGCATGCTTGAATTTTCAAAAGTTAAAGTTCTTCGACGGAACCATGTTGGTGACTGGGGGACACAGGTTGGTGTTGTTTCTGAATTGTGCATAGAAGGCATGTGTTCCTGTTAGTGCTCAATAAGGGATTAAGCATTCATCTTATTGTGAAATTTTTGTTTATATCTTTGGTGATGTCAACGATCAAAAATGGCTTGTAGTACTTCAACTTATTGTGGTCTCTTGTCTTTTCATATACGTAGGCTCTAAATCTGTCTTGCACTTCCACTTGGACTCTGCCCGAGTTAAAGCTGAAACCAATATATCTTTTGTCCCCTTTGGTAGCATTCTTTTTTATTTTTTATTGACTTTTCTATTTGACTTGCAGTTCGGCATGCTGATTGAGTTTCTTTTCGAAAAGTTTCCGAACTTTGAAGATGCTACTGAAACAGCCATTGGAGATCTACAGGTGTGTGAATACCGTCTAATTACTTTGAATTTGAATCTTAAGATGAACTTTTATAAGCACCACTAGGCAGTAGCATGAACCCAGAAAATAATTGCTGATTCACTTTTTAAAAGTAAAAAATTAGAGGCGGTGCTTTTTTATAGGATGATGTATCAACAACGAATATTATGTTCGTTAGCTTTTAATGATGTTTTATTCTGAAACTGTTATCTAATTAATCAAATATCTCTTGAATAACTATTGTAACTGTGCTCATTTAATTGTTTCAAACTTTTATAAACTATATCCCTTGTAGATGGAATAACCTATACCAGAGCTTAGTGGTAATTCTATTATTTATCTTTGTATTTCTCCCACAAAAAATCAAGTGATTGTTGTTATCCTCACTTGAGTGATTTTCTTAGGCATTTTATAAAGCTTCAAAGCAGAGATTTGATGCTGATCCTGCATTTAAGGAGAGAGCACAACAGGCAGTGGTGCGCCTTCAGGTAAAATTTTACCTTGTTAAGAATATTCCCCTCTTTTTCCTCTCTGATTGCATTTGAGTTTGTTAATACCTGATTTCTCTTTCTGCCATTTGCTGTTGTTCTACTCATTTTAGGGTGGTGAAGACAAGTATCGTAGGGCATGGGCACAAATATGTGAAATCAGCCGGAATGAATTTCATAAGGTCTATCAACGGCTTGGAGTCCATCTAGAGGAAAAGGTGAGTAACATGCCTCAATTCGATATCATTGGAGATCTCTTTATTTATGATTTTTACTTTCAATTTATCTTTATATTTTTCATGCTATATAATCATCTTCAACCTACTACAAAGTACAAACTGTAAATTTACGTGCTCGACTTTAACACATATAATCACCCGAAATCTTGCACAAAAGTAATTATACACAGTTACACAATTTTGATGATATTTGTAGTGAAGGAATTGTATCTTTTTGCTGAATGCCAGTTTTCGATAACTTCATTACATTGTGAAAACTAGCAAGTTTTATTTGCAAGTGATGCTCTAAATTTACGTGCTTATGGTTATTTCCTTATTTCCAGGGGGAGAGTTTTTATAACCCATACATTCCCGGGGTCATAGAAACCTTGACTAAACAAGGATTAGTTGAGGAAAGTCAGGGGGCTCGTGTGATCTTTATTGACGGCATTAATATACCTCTTATTGTGGTGAAGAGTGACGGTGGTTTCAACTATGCATCAACTGATCTAGCTGCCCTTTGGTAAGTTTTCTTCCACGAATATGATGTCATCCTCTATTGTTTTTTTTTGGATAAGAATAGGAGGCCTCATTAAAAACCCCCTTCATGATTAATGGAGCTCGTAGAAGGCTCCTTAATCAGCGGAAGGAGGAAAAGAGTACCTTAGAATTTCATTAAAATCAAAATAAGTACATAGGAATTACAACACCCTAAAGCTCCCTTAAGGAAATAGAGTACCAAAAAGACATCCCTAAAGAACAACACATAAATCACCCTATTCCAGCCTTAGCTGGGGCATCTACCTCTAGATTAGTTGTTCTATTAACCCATCTAATAACACCTTCAAAAACTCTAAGCCTTTCAACAATATCTTTAACAATATAAGCATAAACATCTAGACATATTTCAACTTCCTTAATCCAGTCTACTGCCACCTTGATGTCACTCTCAATAATCAAACGATCTTTAATCAGCTCACGAAAAGAGACAAAGAACGATAAACCCTTTTGAATAGCTTTTAATTCCATCAAGGTAGGAGGCCCGGACCAGTCGACTCCTTAAAAGAGCCTAAGATCGAACTAGAAACATCTTCTAAAACACCTCATAACCTACTTCTCTTCCAATCACTGGTAGTAGCAGCATCAACTTTTAATTTGATAAAGCCCTTGGGAGGAGGAGACCAAGGGAATTAGATATAATCGGGTTAGAGTAGAAAGAAACAAAATCCCCTAAGGAAGGATCAGATATGAGTGAATCCTTAGAGATAGAAACCTCTTTATACTTTGCTAAAAACCATGAAGCAAGCCTAAACATTGCTAAGAAGAAGAATTCAGCTTGATCTAACTCCCCCCATTCAAACACAATAGAATTCCTGATTTTCCAAGTGGTCCAAAGGATAACCCCTGGAATAAATGACCATATAACTGAGTTAGTCTTCAAATCATCCCAGGCCATAGAAAGCTTTTGGCATCAGTATGAAAAATAGAATTAATCTTCCAAAACTTCATAAATTTATTCCATAAAGACCAAACCATCGAACAAGTAAAAAATAAATGAGAGGAAGACTCTTCCACCAACTTGCAAAGAGGACATAACATTTCTTCAATACCCTGAACTCCTCTTTTAACCAATTATGTCTTCACTGCCAGCTTCTGAAGAACAACTTGCCACACAATGACTTCACTCTTGGAGGCAGCAGACCCCTCCAAATTATATTCTTCCAGAAATAGACCTCCTCCGAACTCGAAGGACCCGAATAACAGAGATTAGCATAAGATTTAACAGAATACACCCCATCCCCAGTGCCTTTCCAAACCAGCCCATCAGAAGATTCAATAGATAGGGAAAAATTCGAAATGACATCCATCAAATTAGACCACTGCTCAAATTCCCAATAATTCAAATCCCTTCTCAATTGAACATCCCAAAACCAGCCCATTGAGCTATATTCGCCAAACTCAAATAATTTACCAGTCTTGTTTAAGGAAATAGAAAACAGTCTAGGGAAAATGACCAAAAGAGGATGATCCATAGCCCAAACATCTTGCCAAAATCGAATAATTTTACCATTCCATCTGGAGTCGAAACCCATTTTCTCCATTACTTTGAACAAAATAGGCCATTCAATTGTATCCTATGCCTTCTTGAAATCAACCTTGAAAACATAGCCCTTTAGTCCATTTTTCCTCCAAAAATCTATCCCCTCATTAGCAATTAGGGAACAATCCAAAATTTGACGACCGGGGATGAAAGCAAATTGAGTTGGACTAATGATGTCTGAAATATAGCTCCTTAACCTCCTCGAAAGACACTTAGAAAGGGTCTTATATAACCCACCTACTAAGCTTATAGGTCTATAGTCATCTAGGCCACCAATATTTGAGCTCTTTGGAATGAGAGTAATAAAAGTATGATTAATACCATATTTCCATTCTTTCCCTAAGTAGAAATTGTGAAAGAAATTCATAATTCTTCCTTAAGGGCATACCAAAACCTTTTGAAAAAGCCCAAATTTAAACCATCTGGGCCCGAAACTTTATTACTATCACAAGACTTCAAAGTTTCCCATATTTCCTCAGAAAATTCTTTTTCTAAAAACACTCTTCTCCAAAGAAATTCTGGAAAAATTCAACCTTATGTCATCAACTTCCAAGGTAGACCGATCATTAAAGTTTTAAAGAAATGATCCTTGACAGTAGCCTTAATAACAACGGGTCTTGAATTATCTTTCCCCGGATATTTAGAGCATTCAAGGCATTCCTCTTTCTCCTTACTGTGGCACAAGTATGGAAAAATCTAGTATTACGATCCCCATCTTCTACCCACTTCGATCTGGAGTACTGGAACCAAATCTGCTCCTCTATCTTGTAAAGTCTCCACAATTTTATTCTGAGTGTTCAATTCTGCTGCTATTTCACTGTCAATTACACCTTGCTGCTGCTGAACATCAAACTCTAACTTTTGAATCTTCCTTCCTAATTCGGTAATCAATACTCCTGGATATTGATCTCTCTTCCCAGCCCAATTTTTGATTGCAAATTTGTTCTCTTCAATAGACTGACAATTCCAGCTTTCCTTTGGTTTTTCTTACAGTCTTGAATAGAAGACTTAACCAATTCCTCAAAACCATCCTCCTCCATCAAATAATTAAAGGGTCTAAAAGGTTTTTTATCCCAATTAACTCCTCCATTCTCAATTGTTATAGCGTTGTGATCTGACACAGACCTTGGAAGAAGTGACTGAACAATATTCGGAAAAGCTGCCAGAAATTGACCATCAACCAAAAACCGATCCAATCTTATGAAAGTGGGATTATCTTGGTTGTTACACCAAGTGAACCTACCTCCGTTCAAAGGTAGATCAATTAGACCGGATTGAAGAATAAACTGACTAAAGATTCCCATTGAATTTCTGTTCTGACCTCTGCCAACCTTCACTTCTTCATATAAGTAAGCATTAAAATCCCCTCCCACACAAACAGGAAGATTCTGTCCACTTAAGTACATGCTTAGATTTTCAAAAAAACTAACTTTCTCCTCCTCCAATGAAGGACCATAAACATTGATAAATCCACATGATATTATTAGCTCGAAATTTACCTGAAATAGCTATAAATCTCCTGCTAATGTACTTATTTTCCAGCTCAAAAATATTATCATCCAAACAACACAATAAACCCCCTAATGATCCTACCAATGGAGATTCAATAACACCTTTAAGATTATTTAGCCCACTTCTTCTAAGAAAAGATCTCTGAATCTTCTCTGTTTTAGTTTCTTGCAGCCAAAGAAAAGAAGGATAGATCTTAGAAACTAAATTCTGAACAGCCCTCTGTTTTTCTTTTTTTCCCAAACCCCTAACATTCCATGAACAAATGATTAACTTTATCTTCATCATTATAAAATAAACAAACTAATCACCCCTTTCAAATTCTCCTTGATTAACCACATTCGAACCTTTCTCTAAATTAATGATTTTTTCCAGAAAGATTGCTTTCCCTTGCTTAAAAGACACCCCCATAATCTTACTTACTTTCCAAGTAGCTAAAGCTTCCTCCAAGAAATCTGAGAAGGCTGAAGAGGAAGTTGTTGCAATACTCACTTGTTCTAGGGCTTCCCTTAACAGAATTCTTTTGGCTCTTCTGATAAAAAACCATATTTGAAACTTGAACATTCTCCTGAAAACCAACCTTCAAACTCCCTATCCACACTCCTATCCTCTGGACATCTATCATTTGTAGGTTCCTCACACCCATAAACATTCATATCTGCTGTTAAACAAATCTGTTGACTAGCACTTAGGGCCAGATCTTTTCCTTCCTGACTGACTTTGGCTTCCTCTCTTTCAGGCATAAACTTCAGTACATTCCCAAACCAATATTTCCTGTCCCTAGACCTCTTATAAACCCTTTTATAACTGCTCATGCTTTTGGTTTCTACCGGATCACTCTTAGATGAAAACGATCTTTTAGATCGATAAAGCTGTCTGCCCCTTGAATTATTTCCTGAATTAGTAGTGATGGACTCTAGCTGTCTTAAAACAACATCCTGGACCTCTATTTCAGAACTATCAGGCAGCTTTGCATTTGAACTCTTTCCCATATTTTCTTTCTTTTTTTCTACCAGTCTCAATCGAATCCGGATTCCGAATCATTTTCCCAAACTTGTTAATTTTAAATGCTGGGCCAGAAGGAATTACCTTTAAACCTTAACCCAGACTGCCCATAATCTTCAGATTAGGCCTGCGACCCATCAGCCGAAATATTTGAATTTCTAATTCCCAAACCGGCAAACTCCCCCACTTTTATACTCCCAACATTCTGACTTTCTGACAGCCCACATTTAATGCATTTCCTATCTATTGAAAGCCTTGGAAAGTGTTGTTCCCCACCAACTCCACCAAACCCAAGAGTAGCTCCCTGGTCAATCCACTTGTCAACTCTTAGTCGATTTTCTTCTGCTGAACATACTAAACATTTCCCACTTTCTGACAGCACTCTGTCTTCTTCCTCTTCAGACATCAACTCTCCAAAATGTCCCCCACCAGAACCATCCACCGGAGGTTCACTGGAAAAAGAACTTGTAGACTCACACGCCGATCCAACCTTAATACACACTTTAAAGGATCTTCCATATGATCCAAGAGTGATCACCTCCGGAACATCAATAGGACTTACCACCCTCATTAAAATTCTCGCCGTTGTGAGATCTTCTTTGTTTCTAGTGGCATCATGTATGTCAACCACCGTTCCCCATCTCCCTGCTATCTGTTCGAAGAATGGATCATTCCAACATAATAGAGGGACCCCAAATAATTCCACCAGACAGAAGGCCATTGGGACTCCCTCTTCATTCAATAATGGTGCCAACCAATCAAACCAGAATTCTAATTCTTCTTTCCTCTTCATCCATACATCCAACATCTCTTCGGATGATTTAAAAACTACTGCACAAGAATTCCATACATAGCCCCATCTGGTAATTTGGACATCATAACCTTCATTAACTAAAGCCTTCTGAACTAACTCAATCTGAAATGAATGTTTAATGATCCCCGTTAATGACCTTTTAACCTAGCTGGAGTTTTCAGAGGGAATATACATTTCTAAAATATTTTTCTTAATTTTCCCCCTGTGAAGAACATCAGATGAAAACTCCTTGTTCCCCAGTGCACTTCTGTTCGACATCAGAGCATCTTTATAAGTTCTATCATCCTTATGCTTCTGTTAAAGTCTTCTACCTCTTTTGAGTTTGAAGTTTCTGCGATATTCTGACTGAAAACCTTCTTTGAAGAACTATTCTTCCCCACCATCCTTGAACGAACTTCCTTATATCTTGCAGCACCAACTGTAATCTTCCTCCCATCTATCAATGCACCATTTAATTTATCTACTGCCCTCTTCAAACCTGCCTCACTCTTAAACTGAACGAAAGCAAAGGTGGAGAATTTGTATTTTGGATTTCTTGCTTCTTTGGGAATGAAAACTCTCTCAACAAGACCATGAACTAAAAACATTTCCCTTAAAGCACATCGAGACACCCTCCTACTAAGGTTGTCCACGAACACCGTCCAAATCTCATCGGAAACTGACTTTCCTTTCAACTTTTCTCTCTCTACGTTTTTCTCTCTCTCACTCATTTTGGTATGTAGTGACCATTCCTCTATTGTTTTTCATATCTTCCTCTATTGTTTTTCATTTCTTGCGGAATATGTGAAATCTGTCAGACTGATGTGCTGCCATATCTGACTGAAATTAGAATGGTTACAATTACAAAGTGAGTTTGAAGACTTTCAGAGTGTGTAAACTTTAGATAATTATTGCCTTATTATTTCCATATACATGTTGATCTCGTGGTGTACTTTATTTATGTTAGACCAATTTGCTCTGAGCAGTTTAATGTGTTACTGATTATGACGTGTTACGTTAGGTTTACTGTTACTTTGTTGATGTTGGGATACATAAACCTAGGAATAAGAATTAATCAGCTTTTTCTCCAATCTTTGTACTTGCTACCTGTAGGTATCGCCTCAATGAAGAGAAAGCTGAATGGATTATATACGTTACTGATGTAGGCCAGCAGCAGCATTTTGATATGTTTTTCAAAGTATGTTCTCAAAGCAGTTTTTGGAATTCTTTTGATGGGTTATCTTTAAAATCCCATTATTAATGAACTGAAACTTTTTTTTATTCTATTTACTACAAATAGATTGATAATTTCTTTTTCAAAAACCCATTTATTATTTTTAAAACCCCATTATTAATTGAGAACCATAAAATTGTTTTTCCGCTTTTAACCTCTAGTTTCTGTCCAAAAAAAAATGTTTTAGTTCTGACATTATTTTGGTTGACTTGTCAGGCTGCCAAACGTGCAGGGTGGCTTCCTCATGGTGATACTTCATATCCCAAAGCTAGCCATGTTGGTTTTGGCCTTGTTCTTGGAGAAGATGGAAAGCGTTTTCGAACCCGTAACACTGAAGTAGTTCGATTAGTTGATCTACTTGATGAAGCCAAGAGTCGAAGTACAGCAGCACTTATTGAGCGTGGTAAAAAATTGAATCTTCTATATGTTGTCACAAATGTTTCTCTGCTCTTACGATTGCAGAACTATCTATTGTGTATGCATTAATGCAAGTTATTAAATTGTAGCATTTCAACCTTCAAACTTCATATATATGAAATTGCTACTTTGTGTGCTGATCAGGTAAGGGTGAAGAATGGACTGAGGAGGAGATTGAGAGTACTGCCGAAGCAGTTGGTTATGGTGCTGTAAAGTAAGCCAATTATTACATATGTTCTTTGTCTAATCCGACTATTATTGCTATTATCTTCTTGTACTTCTTTGTTATTGCTTTCAAATTCGTGAATTCTGATTACAGGTATGCTGACTTGAAGAACAACCGACTGACCAATTACACATTTAATTTTGACCAGATGCTTAGTGACAAGGTGTGTAAACCGTTTGCTTTGTTTTAGACTGCAGATTTTTTAAGCTAACATGTGAACATTTCTGTTTTTGCTGAACATTTTTTTATGAAGGTTTCTTATATTTTATTCCTCAGTTTCTTCTGGTCCGTTTGATCCGACCATTTTTACTTTTTTTTTTTCTTTTTACTTTTTCTATGATCATTATTAGCATCTGATGCTACCTTTCTTTTAACGTCAGGGCAACACTGCTGTTTATTTGCTGTATGCTCATGCTCGAATCTGTTCAATAATCCGGAGGTCTGGTAAAGATATAGAGGAACTGAAGAGTGTAAGTTTCGTCTTACTGTGCAATATCGACATGAAAACAGAACTTATTTCTTTAGTTGAGTTTCTTTGAACACTCGATCTATGTTACCATGTATTCCTTTGGTTTTAACAGAAGGGAACATTAGTATTGGGTCATAAGGATGAACGTGATTTGGGGCTTCATCTGCTGCAGTTTGCTGAGGTAAGAACTAAGATCCAGTTAGCTCCTTGCTTCTTAACCTGGGCTCGGTTTAACAGATTCTTTCTCTCAGGTTGTTGAAGAAGCCTGCACCAATTTGTTGCCGAATGTTTTGTGCGACTATCTCTATAATTTATCTGAAATCTTTTCAAAGTTTTATAGTAACCCCGAATGCAAGGTATGATCCTTGATTAACTATATAGTAGCTTCTTAGTAAAAGTACTTTGTTGAAGATGTCATTGGCAGAAGCAGGTTTTTTTTTTTTGTGAAACCGTTGTGGCTGTGCTAAGATATCATGAACATGATGCATTCTGCTTTAATTTGTGGTATATTGATAAATTGGCCAGGTTATCGGGTCGGATATGGAAACGAGTCGCCTGCTGTTGTGTGAAGCAACCGCCGTGGTTATGCGGAAATGCTTCAATCTCCTCGGAATCACACCTATTTACAAGATTTGATATTTGATACTCTTGAAACCTTGTTGAGAAAGGTTTATAAATTCACATATCATGTGATCTTTGACAATTGTATACAGATCACATTATGTTTCATTTGGATAAGCTGCTTTGCAATTTAAGCATTTAAAAATTTCTTGGTCTTGTTGAGAAAGGGTTATAAATTCACGTATCATGTGTTCTTTGACAATTGTCTCATTATGTTTCATTTGGATAAGCTGTTTTGCAATTTAAGCATTTAAAAATTTTTGGAATCTGATTTCCCCTCTACAACGGTCTAATGTGCATGGACGGATGCAAGATTTCGTGTTAGAGGTCGAACTTGAACTTGTATAATTCTAGTGTTGTGTGTGAACTTGAACTTAAAAACTCCAGGAGAATGAAAATAGATTTTTAATATAATATATATAAAAAAGTTTTAAAATATATGATAATTTTAAATTTTTAAGAGCGGTTGTTTGCGCTCACCCCTCGGTCTATTCTTGCTTGTGTTAGCTATGTCAAAAATTGTTGGTACAATTTTAGGGGTGTTTACAATTTTGTAACAAATATTAATCATGTTTAATGGAACATGACATATAATTGTTTATATATGAGATGATTCACATTTTAGGTCGTAAAATTTGTAATTAATTTTTATGCAAATTATAATATTTTAATTTTATTAAATTATGCCATTAAACTTCTATTATTAATAAATTATACAATTTAAGATGAAAGTTGGCTAATGCATCATTGTCAGCAGGTAGCAATGTGTGTTGATGGACTCGGTAGTGATGATGTTTTTCTAGGGTTATTGGTAGTGATGAAATGATAATGTAAATGCTGTCCATTGCTAAGCTTCGTATTAAAAAGTGATCCCACTGCGAATATTCATCCACAAAACAATCTTGACAGTAACCATAAAATAAAGCACCATACCATAAACATAACTATAACAAAATACAAGCCTTTCAATTCCGGAAACTGTTCCCCACGATTGTAAATACTAGTGCATTTTTGGGTATGTAAAAGCCAAGAAGAACCACAACAAACAAGACCACACCAAAGAGAATCAATAACCCTGATCAACGAGATAATCACCGAGCCTCTCAACGATCATGTTGCACTGGCCGGGAGTCATTGGCTCATCATAGATTCCGATGATCAAGGCCATGCAGGTCTTTTTAACAGTAACACCTCCCGGTCCCTGAAATTAAAATGACAATAACTTTGGAATACAACCAAAGCAGAGCAAACAAAATTTCCGTGACAGGTGTCTGAATATCAGTGCGGGGAGGCTTCAAATCACAATTGTATACATAAAACGTAACATCTAAAACAAATGCATACTGAATAGGCATGAAACCACAACATCAATGTCCCTAATTTGCGTAGCTAATCCACAATAATATCACCTCGTAATGTGCTTAAGTGCTGCATAGGTTTGACAACAAATTACACTCTAAACAAAATACCATAAAACTGATATCCATTACGCATAATGTAAGACAATGCATATGCAAATGAGGTTTTTCAGTGTTTATAAACAAGTGAAACCAATAACAGCTAGAGAGCATCACCTTCTTCCCTCGAATAACAGCTCCAGGTTCACCTTGGATCACCATGTATTTTGTGCCACCAAGGTACAATCCGGTCGGGGCGAGTGATCCAGGTTCAGCAAAGTCATTCATGACGGCGTTAATTTCTTCGGGCTTGAACTGTATTAAACACAACCGAGAAGCATGGATCACTTCCTTGATCAGAAATAAAAGAGCAAAAGGCAAAAGACTCTACTGGTTAAACCCAGAAAACTAACTTTATTTGTTTTGTTTGTTTGAAGGCCAGAAAACTAACTTTAAATTGAAATAAACGTAATAACAGTAGTCAAAACACTGCACTCTTCAATTACGTTTATTACAATCATCCATGAAGTTGTGGTCCTCTGCAGATCCATTAGCCAAACTTCATTTCATTTTTCTAAATGACCCTTAATGCTTGTTAAAAATAAGAAATATAATCAAACAGAAAGAAACCCAGAAATAGTACAGATTTTCCAAGCATGAAATGAAAATCTGTCAATAATTCATTCAAATAAACCAATAAATCATAGCAAAAATCCCAACTTTGAAGAACGGACTAAAAAGCAAAAAACATAAGTTCATCAAGAGTGAATCAATACTTTAGGAGAAAATCAGATCAGCGGATAAACCGCGCAAAAGAGAAATCAATGGTAAGATTCAGATCTCAAAGTCAAAGCAGCATCAATCTTTTTTACTCGGAAATCTAAGAGACGGAGGAGTAAAAGTTAAGGAAAAATAAAAGTCGAGAAACGGGAGGAGGAGTTGAAGGAAAATAAAAGACCTGAGGGAAATTGGTGCTCTGGGCCCAAACGCTACCGTCATGGCCGATGATGGCGGCGGAAGAGAGATGGTTTCCCTCGATTTCGCACATCAAGTGATCATCAACGTAAGCTTGCCACGACATCTTCTTCTTCTTAATTCTGTTTCAAAAAGTAAAATATTGTCTGACCGCAGAGACGGGGTTGAATTGAGGCACACAGATATAGCGTTGAAGTTGAAACTGCGAGGCCTGCGTCATACTTTTTATATTGGCATAATGCTAAAATTAGTCCCCAACATTTATCAAAATAGTCATTTTAAACCCTTTTTTTTTAGTATCTTGACCTTAATGTTCATTTTGAGCTAAAAAGTGTCTTATATAGATGGAAATTATTAATTAACGTACGATTAACACTTTAAAATAGAGTCTTTTTATCTAAAAATAAAATATTGAGGGATAAAATGCTGCGAAAAAAGAATAATGATCGAAGTAATTATTCTATTAAATGTTATGAACTTTTTTACTTTAAAATTAAATATTAGTGGCTAAAATATTAAAAAAATAAATGTCAAAAATCACTATTTTAATAGATGTTAGGGGTTAATTTTGGAATCGTGCCTTTTCCGCTCTACGTTTGATTTTCTTTGGGCCAAAATCCACATTTTTTCCAAACCCATATGTTTCGGGTTTTTATTTTCAAATTGTCTGTCTAAGTCGGAATCAGAATCGGAACCACTTAATATCAAAATATGTTTTATATAATATATACTTAAAATTAAATCTATAATATAATATATTATTGAATGATAATTTAAAACGAATTTATAGAATTAGATAGATAACATAATTATGTGAGTTTAGTTTACACTATGAACTAATTTTTTTTCTGTGATTATAGGTTAGACATCAATTATCATGATTACGAGGAATTAAATTCTGACTAGTTTTTAGTTACGGATCACATTTCTTATGCTTTGGCATACCTGCTGACTAGCTGGATATATAAAGCATGGTACTACGTTGAGTTGTATGTGTTCTTCGGCAAAATCGAACTTCGATTTTAAAAAGTTGAGAGGTAGGAGTGATTATTATATTTTTGGAAGTTTAGTTTGATTGAATTCTTTTTATTGACAGGTTTTTATGTTCACAACACTAATTGCTAATGTGAAAAAAAAATATTATAGTACTTTTGAGTAATTCACCCTTCTGATTTAGGTAAAAAAAACCACAGACGTGGTTGGTAGGTGAGATAAAAGTTGAGCTGATTAAGATGATAACAAGGGAGTCTATAGAGAGATCCTCTTCTTTTTATATCGTATGATATATATATATATTCTTAGCGATAGTATCAAGTTTAAAATGATATTATTATTCGTAGACGGGTTGTCTCTGAGCCTAAGCAGGAGGGACACATGCTCAGAAGCCAGAACTTTTATAATGTATTATATTTGTAAAAAAATAGTTTTATATGAGTTTTAGGGTTCAATTATTTTAATACTGTTATTAAAGGTTTAATTTTTATAGTTTTTTTAATATTTATTATTAGGGGCTATTCTTATAATTATATTTTTAATATGCGTGTAAGTGTTTAGTTTTTTGTCAATATTTTTTTTCTAACATTTGTTGTTAGAGGTCTAATTTTTCAATATGATTGGGGTGCTGCAACAACAATGAACTTCTTGAGAATATATATACCGGTTGGAGAATTCAAACTTAACATCGAATGCAACCTTGCCACACTCTCAGGCCACCGCTGCCTTATTATGTTGAGACAGTAAGAATGAATGGATGACTAAGCAATATTGACGTAAACTCTAAGGATCCTCAGAACGATTGGGATATAGATATATTCCTGACAGTTATTGGAGAGGCGACTATGGTTAAGTGTGATAAAAAGAGGATTAAAATCAGAAGGCTTAAACTTTGATGCAAAATTATAGAGGGAGAGCACATATGTTGAAGACATGTTCATCGCTCATAGAGTTGGAGTGGATACCTCAGCCCGTGGACTTCGAAATACTAACAAATTGATTGAGGATGGTTCTCTAATTGAGCTTATTCAAAAACTAAAAGATATCTTGGGACACAAAAGGTATAAGTTGGTGCAATGGAACGAGTTCAATACAAGTCAAACGACATGGAAAAAGGAAATTGTACTTGTGCAAGAATTTCCTTCTCGGAATCTTGAGGACAAGGTTCTTCTCCAAGAGGGGATATTGTTATGACCCAACTACAATTTACGCCAACACAACACATATGAACCATGGTCGGGTCAGCACGAGAAGAGTACACGTGAGAGAAGGCATCCCAAGACTTTGGTTTAGTTGGTTACTACAACTGGTTATATATAGGCAATAGAGGATAGAAGCAAAGGAATAAAAAGTATTGTTACAGTCTGTTATCTTCTCTCTCTCTCTCTCTCTAATTCTCTCTTTCTAGTCTTCTTTTCGGATTCTTCTCTATCGTTGTAATTATCTTGTTCTTCAATTAACATCCAGCTTGAGTGTTTCCAATTTATGTCATTGAGCAATTAAGTTTTTAACATCAAACTTTAATGTCCAAGAATATTTAGAGTTTAATTTTTTTTGAGCTTGATTCAAGTTTCAAAATTTAAGTTTAAATTTGAGTCAAAATTCAATATTTGATTATGAGTTCGAGTCAGAGCTTGACAATTTTAAGCTCACGAACTTTCGAATCAAATCGAATTTAACTTTAAATTTTTAAATCAAGTTAAATTCAACTGTACCCAAACTAGATTCATCCATGACTTATTACAAACATTCGAGGGAACATAATTATTATGTGATTATTTTATTCTTGACAATGTCAAATCTCATCAAATTATTCGAAACCTCCACAGTGCACCAATGGGATCCAATTCATTTAAACTTGGGTTATACGATAAATAAAAGAAAAGAAAAGAAATATGAAACAGATACATAAATGTTTTAAAAGAAAAAAGTATGATAAATTATTCAAACACGATACATAAGACGAATTTCTAAATTTTCTGTTATTCATAAAAGATGGAAAAATTAAAATGCTTTAAGCCTCGTGGTAATCGAAACTCAAAACATCGAAGGAAAAAAGGCAATTAAAAGAAAAAATGCATGGAGGAATTACAGGAGGAGGAAATTGCAATAGTTTTGAATAGCAGAACGAACAAACATTGATGGGAATTGATTGATGTTGAAGGTAGGATTTTTCAGAGACCTTGCTCAGCAAGATAATCACCCAACCTCTCATCAACCAGGTTGCATTGTCCCGGAGTGACGAGTTCTTCATAGATTCCGAACACAAGAGCTTGTCCTGTTTTCTTTATAGTTACTCCTCCTGCTCCTTGCCGCACAGCCCCGTTTCAAGATTTTATCGCACACTATATTTAGACTACATGAAAATTTGAAAAACGATGAAAATGGAACGGGTTAATCAAAAAGAAAACCTTTTTTCCTCGAATGACGGCACCAGGCTCACCCCTGGATGACCATATACTTTGTACCAGCAAGGTGTTGAAATTCTAGAAGGCCGGTTGATTTTCAAACTAAGGGGCTGCTTTGAATTCAAATTAAGGGGCTGCTTTGAATTCAAAATAGGGTGGCTGTTTTAGTTGAAATTGGCAAGGGATAATTACAAAATTCAGCCATTGTATTTTAGGGTAATTATAGAATTAGTCCCTAAGCTTCAACTATAAATACCTTAGCTCATTTAGCTTCAAAATCATCCCAAAATCCCAAATCATTTATTTCTCCCAATACTAGAGAGTTTTATAGTGAGTAGTGAGTGTTTTGTAAACACTTGTAAATTTTATCTCTTAGTAAAAGATCTGTAGCAATCCGGAATGTAAGCAAAATTGGCTGAACTCCGTTATCAATTTCGAGATTATTTTTCCGCTTTTATTTCGCATTCTCACTAATCTGGTTATAGAAAAATTATCCGTACTCGGTTTATTTCCCAACAACTGGTAATAAGAGCTTTTGGTCGTGAATTTTGTCAATTTTTTGCGAGGTTACTATTCACATGAATAGTAAATTTCGTGAATAATTAAATTTTGTTGGCGATACGAATTTATCGACGGAGGTGTTCTAATACACGGTGGTTTGCAAGAATTGTCAGAAACTATCCAAAGAAGCCAGATTCGAATGGGATTGAGAAACGAAGTTGATGAGCTCAAGAGGGAGCTGCTCAGATGCAAGGGAACAATGAGTGAATGGGATGCGCTCAAAACCTTCTTGGAAGGACTTAGACTAGGGGCGATGCTCGGGGAAGAGCAAGGAAATGCCTAGAGACTTTCGGAGGCCATAGTTGTAGCCAGAAAGCTGACTGAGCTTGCAGGTGACAAGCCAAGTAGCGATGTGTCATCCAGGCCCATGCCCAGAGATAATGGCAACAGTGGTGGAGACAGGGAAAATGTGTAGCAGGGAAATGGTAGAGAAAGCTCTTCGAATGGCCAAGGTGAGTCATCGACTGTTCGTAGCCAAGAAAAGCCATCGGGAAAGAATGGCAAGGCTATGTCAGGTTTAAAGAAGAAGGAGAGCAAGGAAAAATTGAAATGCTACTTCTGTGATGGTCCTCATTTGATTAGAGGATGTCATGAGAAGCGTCGCCTTACAACCATCATTAAGAGGATGGAATAAGGAGAAGTAGCGGGAATTGGCGCGGTCGCAAGTGTTAAAGCTACCAAGCCAGGAAAAAGACTTGGCCCGATTAATGGGATCAATGCGGCCAAACAAGAATCGAGATGAGGCAAGGCTGTTGATATTGAAACAGCTGAACTCGGAATAAAACGTGACGAGATTGCGGGTGTCAAAGCAGTCAAACACAAGAAGGGACTCGGTGCGATAGCAAGAGATAAAGCCGTCAAGCCGAGGGTGCAATGTGAGCAAGTCCGCTCACAGTATGCAAGGATGGAGGCATGGTCCAAGTTGAGGCGTCTTAGGCATAAAGGGACACTTAAGGAGTATGTGAGTCGATTCAGAAAACTCATGCTCAAAGTCTCAAGTTTGACTGAAGAATATGGATTCTTCAACTTCATGTTCGGATTGAAGCCATGGGCAAAGAAAGTGTTGGAGCGAAGGGAAGTCAAGGGGCTGTTTGAAGCCTTGACAACCGTAGAGTCCATCAAAGAATTTGGAGTCAAGAAGAACAAGACTTCCAAAGCAAAGTCGAAATCCGAGGGTAGCGGCAAGAGATTCTGCGATGAAGGTCAGTCAGAGGATGAGAAAGGTTGTTCCTCGAGTGACAAAGAAAGTCCACTCAAAAATGAACCAAATGGTGGATCTGGTGAAAATGTGTGCAGTCTTGGCATAAGTTTGAGTGTCAAAGATGTTAAACCGAGGGTAAAAGTCGAGAAAACGAGGGGGCACAGACTTAAGATGCCAGAAGTGTTGCAAAATTACCCGAGGGGAGCCGAGTCATCCAAGGTGATGGATGAGCCCAGGATCGAGTTCTCCAGAGAAGAAGATGAACCCATGATCAAGGGGGCATTGAGAGTTGGCTCAATAAGGCTCATTTCTGCCAAGACAAGTAAAAGCCAAGTGCAGGAGGAGTTGTCCATGTCCAAGGAATTTGTCGAGCATGTTCGTGTAGAGAACATGACTTTAGAGACCATCTTAAGAGAAGGGTCGAAGCAAGGGCTTGCCGAGGATGTTCAAGTGAGGAACAATCCTTCAAAGACTAGTGGACAAGAGTCAAAGGGAGCTAAGACGTTGAGAGACAAGACAACCACGGAGAAACTGCCCAATAACAAGTGGGTTTACAGGGCGGTGACTACGGATAAACTGAAGTTGTGTTCAGCTTCAGTTGGCATGCTAGAGTAACAAGACCAGAAATACTGCTGCATTGATCAAAGTGTGAAGACATATTAAAACCAATCTTCAAGTGGGAGATTGTTGAAATTCTATAAGGCCGGTTGATTTTCAAACTAAGGGGTTGGTTGATTTTTAAATTAAGGGGCTGCTTTGAATTCAAAATAGGGTGGATGTTTTAGTTGAAATTGGCAAGGGATAATTACAAAATTCAGCCATTGTATTTTAGGGTAATTATATAATTAGTCCTTAAGCTTCAACTATAAATACCTTAGCTCATTTAGCTTCAAAATCATCCCAAAATCCCAAATAATTTCTTTCTCCCAATACTGGAGAGTTTTCTAGTGAGTAGTGAGTATTTTGTAAACACCTGTAAATTTTATCTCTTTGTAAAAGATCTGCAGCAGTTTGGAGACGTAAGTAAAATTGGTTGAACTCCGTTATCAATTTTGGGTATTATTTCCTAACATAAGGTGTAAGCCTTTGGGAGCAAGGTGGCCTGGTTCGTCGAAATCTTTCATGATGTCACTGATCTCGGTGGCACTTACCTGCAAAATAGAAAAATAAGACAAGGGAATTAAATCAAACACCTTTCGCACAACCAAATGACAGCCAAAACTCTGATACCAATCCCAATTCAAAACAAGAGTTAAGAAATAGTAAGAGGTATGACCTTTGGGAAGGCGGAGCTCTGAGCCCAGACTCTGCCATCATGGCCGACGATGGCGGCGGCTGTTAGATGATTGCCTGTGCCTTCGATGTCACACATCAAGTGCTCATCTACGTAAGTTTGCCACGACATTTTCTGTTGCTTTGGTTAGATTATAAGTTGGGGTTTGGGTTTGGTTTGAATGAGATGTTAGGGCATTCAAGTTGGATAAAACCGAGAGAGAAAAGTAAGAAAGCCAGGAATTATAAGGCTGAAAAGGAAGCTGAATTAAGGGTTTCTCAGCCGTCTGTTTTGGATCGATCAACCATTATTTTAACAATCCCCTCATTCTCTCTTTCACGTATCTTCTTCCCCACGTTCTGATAACAACATTTCATGCTACACAAGTATTTTCTTTCATTAATAATAATTGATATGTGGAATGCTGAAATTTAACATTAGTTTTGTGTTTATGTTCAAATATTCAATTTATTTTATTTAAAAGATATATATATATATATATCAGGCATTTGATCATAAGCTTTTAGTCCAGCTAAACAAATGGTTCCAAATATGTAAATTTCTGTTTCACTATTTTGCCAAAATTTTAACACCAAATTTGAAGCCATCTTTTTCATCATTTTTTATATCAAAATATCAATTACCGTTCTTCCTCCTCCTGGGAAATTGTCGTTCTCTTTTTCTTACTTTGAACCATTAGTTATAAACAATCCGTCTTTTATGATGGATCTTGAGGATAACATGCTACAGTTGAGTCTTTCCCAATAACAACCACCAGAAAAACATTAGAGTAAAATGGAACTTAAACTCTGTTTGAAACAGAATAACAGTGAAATGCCACCAAAAAGGCTCTACAAGTCAGTCAAAATATGATAAAGGGTATAAAAGGAAATATGTGTATTATTATTTCTAATAGGACAGTTTGAATAAACAATTCTAAAACTCAAAAGAGTATTACTTTTAATATTTTGGCAGAGAAGAAGGCACGCATCAACAATAAAATCAGAGATAGAAACAAAATTCAAATACTAATTTAGAACACGGAATTTGAATCCTGGCAAAAGGAACTCTAAAGTGCCCATCTGGACCATTTGGCTTTGTTTAGGATCCCTTTAATTTCCCCAAGAAAAAATACATGAATCTTAAGGCCAACTTCGAATATCAGCAATCATCCACTAAGTCGATATGATCTTCCTCTGAAAGCCACACCTGTTGAGCTATCGGGCTGTGCACTGGGTCGACTGCTTGGCTGTGTTGGAACTCCTATTCTCCATCTTCCAACCAGTTTACGCCTACATAAACAGTATCTGTCAAGGAAAATACCACCAACACAAGCAAATTGATGTTCTTATGTTGTAAATGTCATTGTTATTCTCAGACCTGTTTGAAAACTTTGGTTTTTACCCATGATCTTTTGAGTTCTGTTTCGAATCCATTGCCCCATCAACATTCTGTTAAAATTTTGACAGAATTTGCCATGTGTATGTCCACCGAGTTGTCACAAGGCATTTAGTTTATTTCAATCCAAATTCTAACAAAACAGTGATGGATCGATGGATTTAGAACAAATTCAAAATTATGATCATGAATGAAGATGAATGATAAGATCAAAGACTAAGGATGCAATTTGCTTGTTCCTATGATATGTATATATATATAGTTGCATGCAAAGAGTTGATAAATCATGTGGCAATTCGGGTCAAGTAATTAAACAATGTAAGGATACACCCACATAGGTGTCTTCAGTAAGACCTTTCCGGTTGCAAGAGGATGCAACACAGTCAAGAAGTAATATAGATGTCCAGCAATGATTCCGAGCAGATCTGGGGTAAGAGGTGAACCAAAAATAACATCCAAAGCAAGCATTGCCCAAGGTAGATAGAATGCCTAAAGCAATATACAGAAAAGTATGCATTGAAACATAAAATCTCAGCCCCAGAAAGTCTATATGAACATTATAGAATCCCAATTAGTTCGTGCCTAAACTTGCAATTAAGCTTACCTTAAGAGTCACAAGACCGTATATGTTGATTTGAGCATTTGGGAACTCTCTACTCCAGACATAAAGGAGCATGAAAACAAGAGATACCCCTAGGAAAGGGGTTCTGAATATAGGGATTGCGGACAAAACCTAAAACCACAACAGGAAATAATGGAACGGAAAAAATTATACACTAGAAAAGAACTGATGATAGGTTGCACATTCGCAATGAGCATATTTCTTACAAGGGAAAGATATATTAAGAGCTTGACACAAGTATATTCTCTTTTATTTTCAAAATTTTCATGTATTAGGAGCTTTTGAAGGATTACATCCCCATACACATCCGAATATACGTCTGACATGTATACTTTACGAAAAATGAAGAATTGGAACAACATAATACAGAGGTGAACATTAGCTAAAGACCTAAACCAGTAAGCCAATATCTATATAACATGCTTTTAGCGGTGCCGGTGATTCGTAGCAAAGATACAAGACTAGAGAACATATTTAAAGCATGCCTTCACTAACATACAATGATTTGCCCTCATCTCAATTTGAACAACCAAATTACAAAGCTAAATAAGAGAGGACTATGGTCTCACTCACCAACAATGACAACACACCGAATATCATCATCCACAAGAAATCAGCTGTCCGTCTCTCAAATGGCCCATTCTCTAGTTGGACTCCATATCTGCTCTGTACAATCATAAAGATAGTCACAAAACAATCGGAACTTAAACCTCAAAGAGTCAGTATTGCAAAAGGCCATAACCTTCTTACACTAGAAGAGAATATGGAAATGATTGTAACCTTCCAAAAAGTGATACTTACATCATTAAAAGGCGTATCCCAAAATTGATAGAAAATTTTCCAAGGAAAAAGAAGTTTGTAATCAGCCTCCACACCTACAGTCATATGTGAAGTTATAAGAGAGTTCTCCAGATTAACTATAACATGATTAAATATTTATGAATAATGTGAGATTCTAAATTATCAGTTATTACACACATCCAATTTCATACATAGAAGCCTGCAATAAACTTGATCCATTTTAATTTATAAACAAATCTCTCAGCACAACAAAACAACCCTTCACTGTCCCTTTTTTCAATAATACAATCATCCATACGTCGCAAAACATATGCAATACACATAGGAACGCCATTCCATAATCTAAGTTGAGCAAAATCATATTCGATTAGAGAAAATTAGTAATGGAACACTCTTTTCCCTTGTGAAACTTATTGAGATTTAGACACTGTGCATCTCTTCTTTACAATCAAGCCCTTATATAATTCATACCTGAAAGTACTTGAATACATATTCATATAGCAGCGCAATGTAAAAAACATTTAACAGTCCTAATTGGAAGGCTGTAGTGAACATTAAGCATGCAGTCCCATAAGCCTTGCTTATTGGTGGAAGAGAGTTATAAAATCTGAAACCAAATGAATAAAATAGTCAAAAATATAAATAAAGAAATAATAAAAAAGAATATGACTAACAATAAAACAGTATGTTGGACATAAACATACTGTCATAACTAATTAGAGACAGTATTCCCACAAAAAAGAGAAAACATGTAGACTAAACTAAAATTGCTACAATCAAAAGCTACATTACTCAAACTCATATTTAAGTTTCAGAATACATGTATGTGCTCAAGACACGTATACTCATTTTTTCAATTTTTTCCATGTATTTCAAGAATCTCTGGAGGGTCATATTTCCATAATCATATCCAGATATGCATCTAACATAACCAAATCAAGAAAAATAAAACATCGGAGTAACATAGATTAAAATTTACTACTGCTCATTAACTTATGCAGCTGTTACTGTCAAGTTAAAAAGGCATGAAAATTAAGAAGACAAGACCTTGGTCATCTGTTTAGAAAACATTTTTAATGGAAGAATACTTTAAATCTTTAACATAACAAAATAGTAATATTTTATCATGAGATTATACAATTTCAAAATCACAAATTTCAATTTATTTATAAATAAATTTTCATACTAATGCCTAATGGTAACGCTTAGGAGAATTACAGGTAGTGAACCATGGTTAGATGACTTCTTGGGGCTTCACCACTACGGCAGCTTCATTTCAACAATATCAGACATAGCATGTTTGAATCAATATTTGGTAAAACTGGCAATGAACACAATAACGAGATGAAATTTTTCAATATTCTTCTGAAGTAAAATCTGGTACACAATTTTTGGACAGAAGAGGAACATTCATGGCATCCCATACTCTTTAAAATCGTGGAGTATATAAAAGCTAATGCTATGTTCGAGAACATAGTAGAAAATTTAGATTTCACTCGAAATATAAATTGTGATGAGTGATGAAAAAACGCACACATGATGCATGAATTGGTTAAAATTCAATGTAGTTTTATTTTTGAAAAGTCTGAGAACCAGAAGTTCAGGTTGACAAATATCTATACGTATTTCAATTTCACCTCAAAATAGTCGTCCAAAATTCATGAATTTGAAGGAAAAAAATTATCATTGGCGTTCCATTTACATGTATTTTGATACACATATACACTATTGTTTTTAAACGCAACCTTAAAATTTACATTACTCTTACGACTCTAAATCCTAGGTTTCGAAATTCTAACCAAAACATATGAATTCAACCACATAACTAAAAAAAATAATCCAGAAAAATGAAACCACAGAACGAAGATAACAATTAACAAAATTCAGTACGAAGGGCCGCAGAAACAATTTAAGACAATCAATTCAGAAAAGGGAACAAAAATATATCAAAGGAAAGATAATTGCGACTTACTCAGCCGGTGAAGACATTGCAATCCTAAATAAGACCTCGTCAAATGAGAATAATCCACACCTCAAAGATCTCTTTTTTCAGTTAAATTGTATGCTTCGAAAAGCAGGCGAAGATCTAGAAAAGGCTCGAGGATACTTCCAATTTTGACCTTTAGTGTTCAACTGATTGCGTTTAATCGGCTGCCCGTGTACTATGATTTGGGCCGGAGATGATATGAAACTTGGGCCCTAAGCCATTGATTTGCAAACTTGGGTTTCCATAATTAGGAGTTTCCCGGTGGCAGCAAAGGTGTATTAGACTATTATTTTCATGGTCACTTTCGTTATGTCTTTATCATCCAATTATTTTTATTTTAAAATAATATTTAATATTACATTTTAGTTTTATTTTGTTCACTTATTGTTAAATAATTAAGGGTGATTTTGACAAGTCATCATAAGGTAATATCACATCATCATTGAATTTTTTTAAAATATCATATCAACAATTCAATTAACTTTTTAACAATGGGTGACCAAAATGGAACTAAAATATAAGGTTAGATATAATATTAAAAAATAATAGTTAATTGATCAAAACGAAACAAAAATAATAATTAAAAATACTAAACATGTAGTTTATCCTATTTTCAAAAGTTCGTCTATGAACAATATATTTCAATCCAATAACAATGAAAAACCAAGTCTTCATATATGAACATATATGATATTTGATTTGTTGTTTGTGGTATTATAAAGGATAAATATCAAAAGGATATTTAGTTCATGTTATTTGAAATTATATTCTCTCTATCCCATAAAAATGTCTATTATTGATTTTTTTGTCAATTTTTTTAAATTTTGACTAATTATTATTTAAAATTTATTATTGATAAAAATAAGTAAAAATATATTTTAAAAACTGCCAGTCAAGTGGTTTTTAAATATATATTTTATAAAATTTAAAATATTTAAAATAATAAGGTCAAAGTTTAAAAATTTTGACTTTTTAAAAGTCAATAAGATACACTTTTTATGGGACAGAGAGTGTAACATATAATTCTTATATTTTAATATAAGATTATAATTTTTAGTTCATGACGAATATATCATAATTTAAATTACGAGTATGAAGCAAAATCAGAAAGTTCATTCTCAACATCATACTAAAAACCATCCATCATGAACCGGCGTTAATGAACCTATAAATTTGAACAAACATACGTTTAACCTGTCGTAACCGTCCTTCATGTGGGTTTAAAATTGGGCTTCGACTTAAATAAAGCATGTTATAGTTGCCATTGATCATTTATTTTTTAGAAATTTTTTTTAGGTTAACCGGACACCTCAAATTATCATCTTACCTTATATGCGTTTTACCATAAATATGTCGGGTTCGGGAGTCGGTTACAGTCAAGGAAGTATTAGCACATTTGTACTGCCCTTTCGGTACCAATTTAATTTTCCAGTTGTCTTAATGCGAAAATTAAAAGTTAAATTAAAAATTAAAAGTCGACCCAAATTACTTATCTTTGATCGATTAAAATTACCCCTAAAAAGTCAAAAACATTATATTATAAAATAAATATTAAATAAATCAAAGGAAAAAAGGTAAATTAAGAAATTAACAAAAAATTATTAAAATAAAAAATAAATACAATAAAATAAAATGAAGAAACTATTAAATTTTAAATGAAAATAAAATATAAAAAAGTTAAAAGAGGAAAAAAAGAAGTGTTAAATTTTAAAAGAAATAAAAATAAATAAAAAATTTATTGGATCAATGTTGAGTTAATCGATCGACGAAATAGCCAAGAAGGGGGTGAATTGACAATAAAAATTTTGGTGGAAGTTATTGTAGAAAATAGAAAATACTTGCACAGCGATTTAGAGTGGTTCGACTTTCTCAACCAAAGTCTACGTCCACTACCTTAATTATCCACACTAAGGAGTTTCCACAAATTCATCAATTTGTCTTTCTTTTGAAGACAAAGAGTAACCTTACAAATCCCTCAAGAATCATACCACAAATTCTTTAGAACACTCTCTCCCAAAGAGAATAATACAAATTTTGCAAACTTACAGAAAAACCTCACAAGGCAATATGTTTGCACAATTCTAGAACAAGAAAAGAACACTCAAAGATGATTACAAATGAGCACAATATGTGTTCTTGAAAGTAAAATGAATATTGAAGGAAAATTGACTTGAAATGCATAAACTTGATGTTTAATGCTTTCTCTCTTGTTTCTCAATGAATTCTCTCTGATCAATGGCTTCAGAACTTGTTTAAATACACATTTAATTGATTTTAGCTGTTGTGAATCATTTGGGTTATGTTAGAGCCGTTGTAGTGTGAAAACCCTCTTGAAAAAGGCTGCTAGGAGCGTGGGGGTATCGATACCTCTTCAATGGATATTGGTACATGCAGTGTAAAATTCAAATATTTCGACCTTTAAATGACTAGGGGTATCGGTACCTCTAAGGGGGTATCGGTATCCATAGGGCATTATGTTTTTCTCAGAGCCAAGATTTGCATAAAGGTATCAGTACCTATTAGGGGTATCGGTACCCATTGGACAATCTGTTTTTCTCAGAACCAAAATTGGCATAGGGGTATCGGTACACCATATTAGGGGTATCGGTACCTCCCTATTTAAAATTTATTTTTGACTTGATTAAGGCTCGAATTACTTCGTAAAATTGTTTCAAAAATATTTTAAGATTAAAACACAATTTTACACTTAAGTAAGGATTGAAATTGACATTTGAAAACTTGGAGTAATATTTTGATATTCGAATAATTTAATCGAATATACTTTTAAAAAATGATTGTAAAATCTTAAAATCCAATAAAACTTTATTTGTTATATCAAAACATCAAAATGTTTTCAACAATCTCCCCCTTTTTGATATAACAAAATATTTTAGTAATTTTAAGATTTTCTTTCAAAAATCATTTTTGAAATTAATTTTTTTTAATTAATCCCTCTTACTATAACACTTCTTCCCCTTTTTGTTAAATCAAAAAGACTCTAAAATGTTTGTAAACAAGGTTTAAAAAAATTAGCCAATTGAGATTTAGATATAGTTTAAGCTACTAAGATCACAATCAAGAGAAATGTTAGCAATTAGTTCCATAAATCAATATTCATAAATAATGTGTAATGGTAAATTGGTCATATTTCAACTGATATGTAAATGTTGCAAAAACTAATAATCATTAAGTTCAAATTAAAAATTCAACCAAACCAAATATAAATATAAGTATTCAAGTTCAAACATCCAAACATCCATAAAACATTCAAAATCAATCCAAAAACATCAAAATGTTTAACAATAAGTCCTAAGTTCAATCCAAGAACACTAAAGCAAGAAAGGTCTAATCGTCTATCGGTGGATTAGGAGTTATAAATGTGCCCATATATTGGATACATCACGTGTAAGTGCGTCGACCCTCTCGTCCATAGCATCGAAACGATGATTCATCGCTTCTTTGTTAGCAGTTAGGTGCGACTCGATAGAAGCAAACCTCATATCAAGATTCCCCATAAACGATCAGAAATATGGAGGCATCTGACTTTCTTGCTAAGTCGGCTCATTCTCAGGTACGTGATCGTCGATATCTTGAAATAGATTTTGAAGTTCTGGATCATCGGCCGCTGCCGGTGCCAGAGGAGCTTGTGAAGAGCTAGCTCCCGGTGTTTTCTCAGTGGATCGAACCCATTGGTCCTTTTTCTTCTTCCATCTCGATTTCTTTAAAGATGTCAAGTTGATTTCGTTTTTAAAAGGGATGGCTACATCAAGTCGAACCTTAAGCTGGGCTTTGATAAACAAGTTACTCAGAAGACAACCGTAAACTAGAGTTTCACAAAGCTTTTTATTAGGGACAAGGTTTACGGTTTCAATGAGTTCGGAAAAGATAATTTGTGGTAGGTTTATTTTCTTATTTTGCTGGATACAATGTATCCACCAAATGTCTAAAGCTCTAAGAGTGGAGTATTTGCCTCCAGATGGTCTAAACGACCAAGAGATGATTAGATGGAGAAAACGATCGTGGTGATCTAACACACTCGCACTCGTCTTAGCTTTGTAACGAGAACCTACTGTTTGCTTTTCATTATCTAAGACGATATTATCTAAACCAAATGCATTAGCGATGTAGTCCGAGTCAATATAAATGAATTGACCTAGAAGATAGGATCGAATTCCTATTGTTTCAGTTTTAGCTTAATTTTTGATACAAACAACATTTGAATAAAAAATTCGAACAAGTTGTTGGTAAACTACTGGTTCGAGTTGAAAAAGTGTATCAAATTTCCAAGCTTGTAGGGTAGGAAGATATCTAAAGTTCATCTCTACCATAGCTCGAAGAGAAGGAATACGTTCTTCCCGAATTTTATAAGACTCGAAGAGATAGACAAACCTATGGTAAAGATTATCCCTACGGCCAGGTTCGTTAAAGCACGAGTTCCGAATTGTCATTTCGGGATCATCGGGATTAGGATTTTGGTGGTTGAAAAGGAGGTGGATTTGGAGGTGGATTTTGAGGTCAGTTTGAACCACTAGATGATAACCTAGGGTGTTTATGAGACATGGTTCAAGAAATCAGAATAGGATAGATACCTTGAAATATGACGATTGAGTGGATTTTGACGTTGTTTGCACCAGTTTGATGATTGTAGAAGGAATATATGTTGAAAACTAGACTAATTCCGATTTGAATCGTTGAAAATGAATAAGAATGGAGATTTGGAGTTTTTAGAGAAGGAACAACGAGAGAGTTGAAGATGAGAGGGTTTTAAAAAAAAATGATAATTTAGGAATTTAAGAACCCAGTCCTGACAGGGGGTATTGGTACCTTTATGGGGGTATCGATACACATTCAAATGGGGTATCGATACACGTTAAAGGGTATCGATACCTGGTGCACAAAAATGTAAAAAATCTGCATTTAAACACTTAGAAAGCTAAATTAATGAGCTCTAGTGGTATTGGAAACTCATATTATGAAAATTAACTATGTTCAATCAATCATATCTATCCTTAAATTTTATTTGACCATATTATTAATTTTCACTAAGGATCATAAACTCCCCCTAACTATTAGAAAAGAATGTAATCAAAAATATTATTTTTATAAGCATTTCTCATAACTAATTAAAAGTGATAAAATTATTTTAAACA